AAGAGGCAAGAATCTAGCCGAGAAATTGCTAGAGGTATCGCCTAAAGCACCTAACATAAGACTCTAACATCGACCTATAACATAAGATCAGCTTCGTCTAGTGGAGTGCAAAGTTCCTCGTCAACTCCTACTGTTCACTATGTTGGTATTTTAAGCACAGAACCGAAAAACGTCATGCAGGAGAAGCCCGCAGGAGACTAGTTGCATCCTGCCCCTCCATGCTCGAGAAGACTCCGTCCGATACGTGTCCAATATCACCGATTAACATGCTGGAGTGCAAGTCCAGGCTTGCATGGGGCAAATTCAAGCAAGCGTAACAAGTATCGCTCGTGCGTGCCTCGCGCACGCCATTGTGAGCCACTCCAACGAGAAGGTAGTGCAACCGGTCGAGGCCAGGTGACAGCAGTCTGGCTGTGCAAGAGCATTTCGAGCCGGTTCCACTCTGGAGTTTTTCTTTTATTGTTTTTACTAGTTGTTTGGGGGACATTGCCTATGTGCCTGCGTGCTAAGCAATGTGACTGTGGTGTTGAGCCAATGCACGGCGTATTGTGAGGTTCGGTATTATCACCGCCCTCTGCTGCCTAGTTGACCAACACTCAGTCTCACCCAACACTCCCAAATAACTAATACGATGCGGTGGAGCGTGCTTTGATACGACTCCTGACAACCCGCGACTATAGACGGGCTGCGCCAGGTGCGAGATCACTCATGAACCATGAGTGATCTCGCACGTCATGAGTCATGGTTCGACCCCAATTATTCGTGGAGTAACGGTGACCGTTTCACCGCGATTCTGTGTAGAATGCTGTCCTTCGTGGCGAGCGCTACCAGTAGCAAATCTTGGCACAATCACTCTCCTGAGGAGACTCTCCGAGAGTCTCCGGGCGAGTATCTAACCCTTCCTGAGTTATTTGGAATATTCTTATGTAGGGTAGTTATATTCTTATGTAGGGTCGTTATATTCTTATATATTATTATAATTGCCCCGCTTACACGGAATCGAAGTTCCGAACAACGAAGTCGATTTTCTTAAAAGGACGAAATTGGAGTCCGAAGGTGCACTCGACGAAATTGAAAGATCTGTGACGAATCCGAAGGTCCGAAAGTTAAAACTAGAAGCTCTAATAGCATGGACCTGAACTTCCTATCGACTTTGGATGAACTTGAAAGTTCTAATTGTGAATACGATCTTCCCGTTTCGGAGTCGTACCTCCAACTTCGCGCGTTCCGACGATATTGATGGTATCGAAAATGAATTAGATCTTTAAAATATATGTGGCTTCGATTCGAAATGTACAGAAGGACTGTGATGCATTGAGCTTTAATCAGTATCTTGCCTCCGTAGCATCACATGCTTGAGCTAGGTTGTGTATATGGGATACAGCATCGGGTGGACACTACTCAACGACGCTCACATCACACTGAATCAGCTGCATCGAATCAGCATTCGAATCCCGAGACTTCACACCAAGTGGCGCAAGAATGTGTCACGAGATTGTACATCTCATTGAGGTGTGTGTTACCCTTTTCACGATACTTGTGAGTTCTTATTTGTAACATTATCCTTTCATAAGCAGCAACTAAACTGTCCATTCACAACTGCTTCAGATGATATCGTTTCGGGTTTGTTCGGGTTATATACAGAAAATTGAAGTGGGATCGGGCTATATTTCCTGAGTGGTGAAAAGTAGTTTCGCGAGATCTGGCTGCCCACATGAGCTCTTTGAAAGTTCTTTTTCGCTCATTATTCATCAATCGGCAACATGCTGGGAGTGTATGCTGAGGAGTTCAAATCGGTACTGCATAATCCAAGACGGGTGAGTGAGGCCATGGGAATCTGACCTTCTACCGAATGCCACACATTAACGGAGACTATATCGTGTTAATAGCCATGTTGGTGGCTCTAAGGGCAAAAGCATCGAAATGGCAGATCATTCCTCGTTCCAATGATTGATCCTTATATAGCTCGGAATCTCAGTCTACAATGTGTCATCGTCAAGTTTCACATATCGTATCGACACTGTCAACGCCTCGATGCCATTGAAAACTGTACTGCAGAACACTAGCGGAGCTTTTCCTGGCCTCTTAGTAGTGTTCACTAGGCTCCTGGGTGACTCTGTATATCACTGAACTTTTATATTGGACCCCATCAAGAGCATCTCCTTCCCTTTAGTTCTTCACGTCAACTCTGAACTTGGCATGCGTGGTATTCTCAGCCCTGATGCTATGGAAAGGCCTCATGCTATACACGGGCTCAGAAAGTCCCATTGTTGTGGTATTGAGGTAATGCGGAACGTGGCTCTTCGAACTCGTCACGCTTCATCAGTGGCTCGATGGAGCCTGGCTTTCACAGAGGAGATATACTTTTTTTAACACTAAAAACACAGGATCCTTTCGAACCTGGTAAACTCTTCTTGAATTGCTTCGCTGTCTTCACACATGTCTCTGCAGGTGACGTGTCTGTTTTCTCTATTGATGGTCGCGATATCCCCATCGTTCATCGAATTGTCAATGTGAGTACCGGGTAATAGGCGCGAGCAGTGAATGCATCGGTAGGGGAAGTCTGGGGAAAAATTCTCGTTGGTTTCTGAACGCTTCTATCCTAGTTCGTATATAGCCTCCTGAGCTTAGCAGCTGAGGAAAGTGAACATAGCAGGTTCACGAAGAGGAGAGCGGTCGCGTCCGTATATTGACGAAAGGAGATAATAATATGGTAGAGCGGTATGTTCGAGTTGGAGATCATCCCTTGTGAAATAGGTGGATGATCGTGGTTTGTATAACTACGGTCAGCTGTTCATTGAGCGAAAGAACATCATGGGAAGGGCCCAAGGGTGAAGTTGTTGTCGGTGTGGTATGAGCAATCACTTGTCTGCTTAGTTTTTTACCCTATGCAGGAATGGCCACTATATGGCTCAATGATTACCCTTGGTTGAAGTAATATTTGGGGTAGCAGTAGTGGGAGTAGATCCTCAGGGTGGGGCGATAGAGCTATTTTAATAGTGGTGGTAGAATGCGCTTGTACCTGTGAGATGTGCCGAAGGAGTGGTATGGTGGAACAATAATCAAGGGGCTCGCGGGAGCTATCCTTGGATTCCGAAGGCTCTTGATCGAAACGTGGATGAAATTCATTGTATATTTTCAATCTGTAATATAGGTACGTACTCCTAGGCATGATGGGATTCTTCGTGATGATAGGCAGAGATTGATCACGACGATAAGGCTCCTCTTATCGAGGCTGCTGTTTCCTCCCCTTTGCACTAGAGTTCTGTGTTGGCAAGCGCAGGTCGCAATAAAGAATTTCGCTCCTTGCAGGGGTCTCTCGGTATGATTAGTTTGGTGAGGAAAAATCACAAAGTTGATATGGGGAATCCGGGTTTGTAGAGAAGCTCCCTGCTGTAGGAGGGATTTGTTTATTGCTTCATGCCATCCAGCGCAGCGCCGGAGGGCATCTCACCTGTTCGGCGGTGGATACCGCAATTCAGCGGTGAGAGCTCCTCTACAAGCAGCTCTGCGAGAGGCAGCGATCATGACTTGTTGGGTTATGAGGAGACCTATGAAACGGCGCCTTATACAGATCATGACGTCTCGGCAACGACTACCCGCAGGAGGGCAAGAGGGTAGTAATCTCAACTGGGGTGGGTGGTCTTGTTCTGGCTGGTGGGCGAAGTTCCTCGTGATGATGATGGTCGTTTTGCGGCCTTAGAGATTGCAGCGATTGTCGATTTTTTATGAGCGTTATTAGTGTTACACTGTTATACTGTAATCATACGGATCTGTATATAGATTAACCCCCACGCTAATTGGCACGACTGTAGTATATCTTTGTTATTTCAGTGACGAGTTATCCCGAGAGGCCTCAGTGGAGGGGGAAATGAAGCCTGTCAGACTGTCGGCCCTGACCGTAGCGGCATGCGGATCCACAGCTGGAGCCACGGCCAAGTTTGTAGTGGCTCCTCTGGAGCGTGTGAAGATTCTGTACACAGTCTATGGACGAGGATTCGTCTCCCTGATGTGGAGTTTCAGATACCAAACCAACCCGAATTTGAGGTTCTCATGGACAAGCGCGTACCACACTATGCAGAGCATTGTATCCACGAACGGCATCAGAGGTAATTTTTCATTGTTTTGGGACTATCATAGTCGTTTCAGTGGTCTGCGAGATTACCAGATGAGAGCAGTTGCATTGTTCTGATAGTTTTTTTGGTAGTTTTTCTTTCTCTGGAAGAAATATTGGGCTCTCGTGAATGGTTCCGTGTAGCGACCGTGAGGCGTTTATATCAGGTTTATGGAAAGGGTACCTCATGGTTTTGACGAGGATCGTGCCGTATTCTGCCACCAACTACACGGTCTTCGATAGAGTCAATACATATCTACAGAGTACTACAGGCTACGGTATGGTTCTGCTCCAAAAAAACTCGCGAGTGACCGATTTCGCAGTGGCCTGCCTGCGAGTGCAATAGTGATCACGTCTGACGAGATCGTGCAAGTGGGGGCTTTCGAAACGAACGCTCCTTCCGGATAGTATCTGATATGCATTTGGGAGAAAATGGGTATTGTTTAGATTCAGCGTTGAGGCAGCATTGTCCTGCTGAGCTCATACGTTTCCTATCTGGCAACTGTGCGGGTGCCTCAGCGGTCATCGTTACTTATCCCTTGGATGTAGGGAAGGCTTGGGAGAGGTCTGGTCGAAGGTAGTTGCTGGTTTGGTAGATGCTTCGGTCGCGGCTCGCTTCGGATACGCGAGGAGAATTCAGTTCTTACAAGGATGCTGTTCGGAAAATATACGGTAATAGAACCATGGCAGCATTTTTTTGAACGGTGACTTGCGGGAGTGGTAGAGTTCACTTCGGTAATCCGAAAGGTCGCCGGATCGATTCTATGGCATGGTAAGGAATATATCTTTTTCCCTTTTCAGCAAGTCGTGGCATTCGCGGCATATACGGTGGCATGTATCCAACGCTATGTGGAATCGTCCCGTATGCGGGTATGTCCTTCATGTGTTTTGAAACTTTAAAGGCTAAACGAAAGGAGATGAGCGGCAGGTGAGTCACCGTGGGGCATTTAGAATATACAGAGTATCGAAGCAGCTTCTATTGGTGGAATGTGAAGCTTTCATCGGAGTCATTGAAGTGGTATGAGCCGTGGTTTAGATGGGACTGTATAATCATATTTTCGTCGATCATAAAGGCATTCGGGTGCTTACTTTACCTCTGCCGTCTACTAGTAGTAGTAGTAGTAGCAGTAGTAGTAGTAGGGTATGTTGTAATGCAAAAAGCAGTGGGACGTTGTGCCAGCATTCTTCTCTCCTCGTCTATGTGGAACGATGCTCTTATGTCGTATAAGAGCACATGTATTATGGGTGACAGAATTTATGTGTGCGTGCCTAGTAGGGTAAATTATATGAAGCATTCCTTTTAGTGAGTATGGGTGGTCCGCCGTTTTAAAGTGTGATTGAAATAATCTCAGAGCCGTTAGTAGAATTGTAGATGAACAAACTCAAACTATCTTGAATATCAATAAGTCTAGACTAGGAAATTATAAGTCTTGACTCCAATGAACGCCTTGCACACATGCTCGCGTTACTAACTGGAACAAGGTGGTGCACAACTGCTTGTCTACGAATAGACGGACAGGGAAAATCAAGGAGCCCTCATCATCGACTCTTATAACATTTCTGTCCTCTGCTCCTCAGCTGGACTGCATTCGACCGTTTGATTTGTGGTGGCTTCTCGGGATTGGTCGCTCAAAGTGCAACCTATCCGTTTGATATTATTCGGAGACGCCAGCAGGTGAGAATCACTCATGTTCATTGGAGAGAGTACCGGTGGTTACCGATACAGAGTTGTCACTATTTTGGTTGGGCCGCTTCCCAATTGAGGCATGATATATAATCTTCGATACGCAGAATATTGTATAAAAATTAAACATTGAGGATGACTATTATAAATGGAGTTTCACCACCCTAGTGATATGGAAAACACTAGTGAAAAATATATTTCACGACTACTGCATATCACCGCGAATATCGCGTTTTTTACAGAGTATTACGCCACTTCACGTAAAACGGGTGGTGAAACTCCAATATAAAAATATTATATATAAATAATTTCCAGTATGGATGTTCATGTTCAATCTAGGTACATGGAGGCAGAGCCTTCCCTGGTAAAGGTGTCATACGTTCCCTTGTTGAGGTGGCACGCACTGAGGGCTTCCGTAAAGGGCTCTATAAGGGCCTCAGTGTGAACTGGGTCAAAGGCCCTATAGCGGTTGCCGTGAGCCTTAGTGTTAATGATGCTGTGAAGGAGGCGCTCATCTCGAGGGCCGCGTGACTGCTTATCGGGGTCGGGCGTTTATCACTTCAGAGAGTGTCGAATTAGAGTGTGTTGCTCAAGTGACAATCACCAATGCTTTCGAATCGAATACCAATTTACGATTCTCTCTTCCTCCCCCCCCGTTTACTGTTCGCTTTCTATTGACACTATGCAACGATTGCCTTCACGTATCACCGGCTGACTGAGTAGAAGTATTATTACCTCCAAGTGTTTCTCGTGGAGTGGTACTCTTTTGCGTTCATAGTCACATCGAGGAGCTGGGGACTGGGAACAGTAGTGAGGTATTTTCCCGATTTTCTCCCGAAATTCAAATCATTTCCGAGTCCTTATTTAACACATTTTGCTCACACTGTTATTAACGTGTTTCTAATTGTATATGAAGATTCGCTCCATGATCAACCCTGAGGTTCGCGAATCACCTGGGCATTACACGCCTAAGGCGTACCGCCCCTATGCATCGACCAATGGCCCTGATTGCAGTGATAAGTGGCAATAAAAGTTAGGGTTTAAATACTTTCCTGAGGCACTTGGCTGATACGGCGTATGATGAGACGCGCTCGCCCTAAAAAGAAGAACCCTTGCGCGTGTTCATTTTCCATACTGAAATCTGCGATAGCACTCGTCACCTGCCCGTAGAAGTGGATTTTATAAAGTGTTGTTGTAGTATGTTGTTGTCTGTGTATTCTGTGCCCTGTCGCTTCTCTGATAAAGGAATAGATGCCTCCACTTAGAAAACAGCAATCAGGAGACTCCAATGTGGTAATAGGGCACGACGAGGAGGAGTCTCCGGATGTTACTGTGATAATCGTCTTAGGGAACTAAGGTGGGAGTGAAGAAAATGAACGCTGCGGATCTACTCAAGAGAATCAGGGTTGGTGTATATGACGTAGATGATGATGATACTCTACTGCTTTAGGCGGATGGAAGCGGTAATGACGATGACGATACCTGGGGTCTTAGTGAAGAGGATATTGTACAGCCTAAGGGTGAGTTACCCTACAGTGAAAACAGCTATATAAGTTCTCATGGGTGTCTCAGCTTCATCTCATCGCGTCAAGCCTCCAGTCCGAGCACGTCGTCAATCGAGACCGGTGGGCGGTGTGGTTCATCACAATGGGGAAAACTCTTCGTGTTCAGTCGCCCAAGTCACAGGCGGCGCCTCCCAAGGCCTCTGGGGGTGCTGCTCGACTGTCTACTCTAGGAGGTTCTCGGGAAAGTGAGAGCCTAAATAGCTCTGGTTTAATCTCGATCTCATTTTCCAGGTTCGACGGTGAATCGGAACGACGTCAAGAAAGTAGTGAAGGGGAACTCTCTGTTTACTATTGTTTTCCGGACTGCGGGTATCACATCATTTCTGTTCGTTTTCAGAAACCCGTGAAGAGCAATACGATCTCTTTCAGTAAGCATCTTAGGAGGTCGATGATGATTCGCCTCTTCTTGCAGGTCTTGTGACTCCGACGAATCGCAAGGCCGTCAAGGTGAGAGCTGCTTCCTGGAAATTGTCACCCAATGACTCCTCAGAAATCGAGCAGTCTTGGTTGGATAGCATTTTCCTCTGGAGATGATGATAATGGGAGTGCCGCCGGCTCGGTGTTTCGACTCGCGTCCGGTGGTAGGGAGAGCTCATCAGCGTCCTCGAGTGTCGATGGCGAGTCGTGGAACTGGGACGGCTCTGCGAAGAGCAAATCGGCGATTTCTGACTGGACGTCATCGTGGAAATCCGGGAACTCGGGTTTGAGTTCGTCACCTGCTCAAGGCAATGGACCAAAAGGGTCATCCGAGGCCCCAGCGTCTCGTCGAGATTTTTCCTCTTGGGGCGGATCGTGGGCGGCATTTGTTTCGGCGAAAGGAGGGCAGAGTGGTGACACGCAGCAGAAGGACGTCTCGGGAAGAGGAGCTAGATTGAGTGACTCTTGGAACTTCGCTGATTCTGGGTCGACTCCATCGTTTGGGCTCGGTCAGGAGGGTGACTACGATGATACTGCTAGCTCAGAAGCAGCTACCAACATTTCGTCCGAGGGTACTGTTATAGACACCCCAGTGAATCGACACCCGGCAGTGCCTACCAGGGCAGACAGAGGGAGGGGGAATCACCGGCTTCCGCGTCACGAACTCGTAACACAAGTTGTAAGGGGCGCCAGAGTTAACTCACCCGCAAGGAAATCTGTCGGGGTTGGGATTGCCGAGGTGAGTGGACCCTATTGCGCGCCTTCTCGAATGCGTTTATTGGTAAAATTCAGTGGACTGATATCAACCTTGGTTACGTTATCGAATCAATACTGTTATCATGTTCAGTTTACACACTCTATGTGGGAGGTGGCGCCTTGCAACTACCGTCAAGTATCGAGGGCACAGCATAAGCCCACTCGCGGTCTTAGTCCGTCTCCACCACATCACCATGGGGTGATACGCTCCGTGTCACCATCGCCAGATTCGGCAGTGCATAAGTGGGATTGGCTCTCGGCTGGTTGGTCGACGCAAGGCGAGGTGAAGAGGCAATGCCATCATGACTGTGACTGGATGAACCCTGAGCACCATCATTGGCCGCACGGGGCTGAGGGGATGCCTCTAATCGAGGGGAACAAGCCCTTGAGGGCAGACGAACAACAAGAAAAGGCAAAGACGGAGCCCAGGGAAAATTCGGCTAATGGGAGTGGCGCTCAGGAGAGGATTCAGCGCGAGGTCGTAGCCATTGTTGTGTGATAGTATAGGAACTAGGATGTTGTTTCAGAGGTTCGTGCCGAGACCTGTAGTCGTATTGGTGTCTGTGGACCCTAGTGATGGGTCGCTGACCACACTAGGTAGGATGGATTGGAGTGTTAATGGAGACGAACGAGGTGAGGAGGAGCAAAAGGGCAACTGCACTTGGGAGTTAATCTTACGTGTTTTAGCCCTTCGACGACCAAGAGACGTGTGCGATTTGGCAGTACCGCCTGTGGCGAAGGTCACGAGGGGCCGTACTATGGAGGTCGGCTGTGAGCGATCGCCAAGGTTGGACGACAGTCTCGAGCGAGAGCATCATGCAAAGGAGGGAATGCCTGGTGGTGGAGAGCGCGGGGAACTGGTTAGAGGCCAAGGAGAGGGGCTGGCAGATGGCTTGAAGGGGAGCAGTCGGGGATCGAACCTGGGTGGAATGGCGGTCAGTCGAAGAGGAATAGAACGTCGGGCATCCAAACAAGATGAAGCTCTGGGGGAGAACCTGGTCACGGTTGATTCAACCTTGGAGGAACACTTCCATGAGGTGGAACGATTCGAACGGAGGCTCATCCCTTGCGAGGACGATTTAGCACAGCCCTCTCGCCAGTCAGGGGCGGTATTTGCGAATACGCCTAGCGCCGTAGCTGTGGGCGAAGCAGAGGTCCCGACAGCTGATGGGGTGATGACAGTGGGGAGACGGCCCAAGTCGATGAAGTGGTACTTTCTGAGCATAGGGGAGTCGTCGCAGGGCTTCGTAAAGCATCATGTTCATAAGGATGCTGCGCTGAAAGGAGAGGTGAGCAGTGGTTACTACTCCCATTGCCTTGGCGGACCTGCTTGTTTCGTTTTAGAACGGACGATCTAGATCGGCTAGTCAGGTGAGTGAATGGCTGTTCAACGTGGTGTTTGATTCTCATTGGATAACACGCTTTGCCACTGTTGTGGACAGCTCTTCAGTTTGTTGAGTAGTTCTCTTTCAGAGAAGGACGCGGTGCTGTGGGGGTTATAGTGAGAAGCCGGCCCGGACGGTGGTGAGTTCAAAGGGACCTCGGCACCGCCAGTGGTAATCTCTTCAGCCACCACCTAATAGGGGAGCGAGAAGAGCCCGGAGTGAAGGTGTCGTTGTAGCGAGAGATAGTGCAAAGGTACACTGGGAGCAGTTGTGGTAGTCGAACATTCCGTCGACTACTGTATGGAATCTTAATTGCCCAAAATATAGCGTCTAGAATTCTCAGATACGTGGTGATAGTCGTCGTCGACCGCCGAAGTCAGGTGAATAGGTCTCATCCCTACAGTGTCCCATTCTGTGAACTCTTTTAGGAGTGCAACAGGAGAAGCGCCTTAGAGAGGTTACAGTCGACGCATATCGTCAGCCTGACCGAGGCGCTGGCCAGCAAGCAGTCTACCATTACCGCCATGTTGAAGAGAGCGAGGTAAACTCCGGTGTGCCAGCATCATTGCGAGTACATCTCTTAGGTTACCGAAGCCGCCCATCCAACCAAAGTTCTCCTCCAGAGTGCGTATGGAGGTGTGCTTGAAAGTCCCATAGTGTTTGCTTGAGGATCGTTGTTTCAGCTGCAGCTGTGCGAAGTGCTCTCAACAGGATGTTCGCGTCGAAACATCGAGATGTAAGAGTTTCACTGCTACCTGCCTGCTACTCTCTAGGCCATCTGTCTCTTCGACGTCTGTGGTCCATCGCGGCATGAATTCTAATTCTAATTCTTGAATTCTATGATGGTTCTATATTCATGAGTGGCTTTCAAAGGGCATTTGCCTATCGCGATATGGTGACAATCCTCAGCCAAAATCACAACCTTCGGACGGTGCTGCTCTAGTGGCTCCGGGAAACCAGCAGACCACGCATAACATAGAGGCAGAGAAACTACCTTCGAGAGGCATGGCTGCAAACGAGCTGCACCAAGTAACAGAAAACGTGAGAAGTGCTTGTGCCGAATTGACCGAGGCTTGAAAGTGGTTAGGTTCGGGATGCTCCAGGAGTCCGGTCGTACTCGTTCGACGAAGAAGTTTTGGTAGGTTGACTTGATACCGTGATGGTACTGTGGTGACGTGGTTCAATTCAGGTTGAAGTAGAATTCAACAACTGAGCAGCTTGAATTGGCATGAGAAACTTAACTTTTACTGATGTCGATATTCACTTGTCCAGAATAGCTTTGATGTATCAGAGTTGGTGAACAGTATATAAGTAGTATCGTCCGCATGAGTTATCGTCCTGGTAACGCGGGAATCCCGCATCAGGAAATCAGCGATGGTGGGCCATACTGTTCCTGGGGTCCTCCAGGTCAGCCACATCTGGAGGAACTTATTGCATTGAACCGTACCTTACGATGGCATAGTTGCCCCACCTGGAGAAATTGATTGGCCCGAAGTATATCTTGGGGTGGCATAGTTGCCCCATCCGGAGGAATTGATCGTACCAAAGTATATCTTGGGGTGGCATAGTTGCCCCATCCGGAGGAATTGATTGTACCGAAGTATATCTTGGGGTGGCATAGTCGCCCCACCTGGAGGAATGGATTGTCCCGGAGTATATCTCGTGGTGGCATAGTCGCCCCACCTGGAGGAATGGATTGTCCCGGAGTATATCTCGTGGTGGCATAGTCGCCCCACCTGGAGGAATGGATTGTCTCGAAGTATATCTTGGGGTGGCATAGTTGCCCCATCCGGAGAAATGGATTGCCCGGAGTATATCTCGGGGAGGCATTGTTGCCCCATTCGGAGGAATTGATTTTCCCGAAGTCTATCTTGGGGTGGCATTGTTGCCCCATCCGGAGGAACTGATTGTCCCGAAGTATATCTTGGGGTGGCATAGTTGCCCCATCCGGAGGAATTGATTACAACTCGAGTCGCAACCGTAGCGCTGATAGTCGAAACAATCAGTCACATGTCCGAGAAACTGTTGTTAGGGCCGCGCTCCTTCTGTGATGGAAGCCGATATTGCTGAATGTTGCACAACAACAGATAAAAAGTCGATAGCCACATTGAGCACCAGCATGCACGATTCATGCTTCGTCCGGCGGAGTCCGCCGCCTACCTTCCCGTATTGCCCGCGACTGGATCTTCTGTTGGGATACCACGCTCCCGTTCACAGCTATAACGGGAACTTCAAACTCGAACTCGTCTAGCACGCACGAACTCTCTCTTCCACTCTAGATGCCACGGTAACTCACCTTTCAATTCAAGGTTGTCATCAATGTTCACTTCGTGCACTTTCACTGCTCCAACTGGATACGATCCAGCGGTGATGATTCGGTCCACAATGAACCGCGCCGTATTACAGAGGCAGCAGTTCGATGAACGATAAAGTGTGACAAGAACGGGCCGAGACATCACTCTCTGGAACGCGATTAAAACGAAAAAGGCTGCCAGCAACTTCAAAGGCTTCTTCGTGGGACCTTCTCAGGTGTAGCGCGCTCTCGATAAGGTCATTAAAAGTGACCCGCAATTACTTTTCACGACCTGTTTCTAGTACACTAACTCAACCAAAATAACCAAAGATAAGTTGAAGCCCCAGGTTCCGAGAAAGTGTTGTCAGTTGGTCATATAGCACAGCTGCGCCAGCTGCAGCGAACGAATTTCCTTAGGATTGAGGAGAGCATTGAAGACGATGCCAGCTGTACAAGCCGAGAGCACCGAGAGAAAATATTGCTGTGAAAGCAGTCTGATAGGCCCATAAGATCCTATACACCAGGAATAGATCCAGCGCGTACCAAGTGAAGAAGATGAAATTGAGAAGAACTGACAGCACTAGAGCTACAACGTTGTTACACAGCACGACCATTGCATAACAATCTCGGCCGGGGTCACCCGAACTTTGTAGTGTCCTTGTGTTAGAGTTAACGACTCGTCCAGTCTCGGCAGAAACGAACGCGTTGATAAAGTGATAGGATCCGTAATATAGTACAAATCCCGTGCACATAGGGGCTAAGTTCGACCACCAAGCCATGACCCCTAGGGCTCCTGTACAGAACCACCCCACCAGACCAACCGTGAAATGCTGGTTCTTAGAAGTGAACCTCAGGATTATCGGTACAGCAACAGTTAGCGATGTAATAGTTGCAAGGATTTGGCCCATCGCGAACACTGTGCCGTTGTAATTGTCCAGCTTGTCTCGGGTCATGATGATGTCGTACAAGGAGGATTCGTAGCCATATACGATCCCATAGGCAGCATTAGCGAATATCCACCAGAGAATGATGAGTAGAAAAGTCAGATTCCGATAGGCGAGCCTTATAGTGGTCCATACCTGAGCTGGTGTAGGACTCTTGGGTCTCCTCACTGGAGTAAAAGTGAGGGATACCAAGGCAGCACAACAAACGAAAACG